TCTGCTCTCACCTTCTTTCTAAAGAGAATTTATTCATCACTGTATTTCTCCTATGTATCCCTCTGTTCTCCACATACCCCTTCACAAGAAAAGTAATTCTACTACAAAACCTTCTTCCCATGTTGTTTTCTTCCTCTTTGCTTTCAAAACAATAAACTTAGTGGCAACCATGCCTTTGGCAGGAATATGCCTTGTCTTTGCCGTGGGAAAGGTTAAAGTATACTTAGCCACTAGCCTAATTAAAGTGGAGAGAACTAATCAGCATTATTCTTTCTCCCCAGCCCAGCTGCCTGACCTTGTCTGTTTCCCTCCTACACGCAATCCCAATGCATCTCCCACTGTGTGCTGAGTTAAGAGCAGCAGAAGTTGGGATCACACAATAAGCAGCACAGTGTGATTATCCTTTGCCCAGAATCACACACTTACACTCCAAATTGGAAACCTGAAAGGAAGGCAATCCTCAATGAAAAACTGCAAATCATATCTTTCTGATGATCTTCTCAGACCTGTAATCCCAACACTTTGGGTGGCTGAAGCAGGCAGACTGGGTGAGCCCAGGGGTTTGAGATCAGCTGGGGCAACACAGTGGGACTCCATCTCTACAAAAATTAGCTGTGCACCTGGAGTCCAAGCTACTCAGGAGACTGAGATGGGAGAACAGCTTGAGCCTCAGAGGTCGAGGCTGCAGTGGGCTGTGTTTGTGCCACTGCACTCCAGCCTGGGTGACAAAACAAGACCCTGTCTCTAAAAGAAAAAAAGAAAAGAAAGAAAACAAAACCCCAACCCATAAAGCCTTCTTACAAATATTTACACAAAGTAGCTCTTTAACGTTAATATATTCTACAAATAATAACTACATATCTACAACGTTCCAGATATAGAAGAAAAGGCCAAAGAAGGTATTTTAGGAGAGCCAGATTATACTGAACTATGCCACTTATTAACCCAGTCACTTCTTTCATATCTGAAGATGAGCAAATCAAATATTGATAAAAGCTGTAGAAGGATACAGATTCTCATATAATCATCTTCCATTCCAGAATAAAAGGGCTGGAGAAGGGAAGGAGGATTATTCTGTTCAAGGACAATAGCATCCTCAGCAACTCATAGAGATGTGCAGGTGAACATCAGACCAGGATGGGAACCTTATAATATCTATGATATACTATGGCTTCTATCAATCAGTTTCAGGAAAAGCAAAGAAGAATGGCCAGTCACAGTGGCTCACACCTGTAATCCTGAAGTGGGCAGATCACATGAGGCCAGAAGTTCGAAAGCAGCCTGGCCAACGTGGTGAAACCCCGTCGCTACTAAAGCCCGTCTCTACTAAAAAATAAAAAATTAGCCAGGCATGGTGGTGGGCGCTTGTAATCCCAGCTACTTGGGAGGCTGAGGCAAGATAATTGCTTGAACCCAGGGGATGGAGGTTGCAGTGAGTCAAAATCACGCCACTGCATTCCAGCCTGGGCAACAGAGCAAGACTCCATCTCAAAAAAAAAAAAGGAAAAAGAAAAAAAAAATGCAGTCAAATGGCAGAAACAGACTTAGCCACTTTACTTGGAAAAATCTGGGCTTTATTAGCTCCATCAATCACCATGCTCCCCACCATGCTTATTAAGTGTCTGGAGCAACATTAGATGGGTGCCATTCCAAATTCCAAATGATCACATCTTTGCTTTGCAAACAGGATGTGGCTTAATAATCACACAGGGAACTAGATTCATTCAAGTATCTAGTTCCTAAAACAAGTCTATTTAACAGGTTCAACAACATGCAACACACACCCTCCAACTGGTAGAAACACCTTTCAATGACAAAGAAAGGTGGCAAATACTAAACACCCTCACAGAACATTTAGCAACTGGTGGGACTAACCCTTGAAGGTGAATTCAAAATAGAACTGAACCTCAATACCAGACTTGTTTTCCAGAAAAGGGAGTATGAATTCTTAGTTTCAGGTTTAGATCAAAACTAGAAGTTGCATTGCTTAATGAAAAACACTGGGTCGGCCAGGGGGGCTCATTCCACCCTGTAATCCCAGGACTTTGGTAGGTCAAGGCAAGGGGATCACTTGAGCTCAGGAATTGGAGACCAGCTTGGGCAACATGGTGAAACCCCGTCTACAAAAAATACAAAAATTAGCCAGGTGTGGTGGCATGCTCCTGTGGTCCCAGCTACTCAAGGGGCTGAGGTGGGAGGATCGCTTGAGACCGGGAGGCAGAGGTTGCAGTGAGCCAAGACTGTGTCACTGCACTCTAGCCTGGGTGACTAAGCAAGACTGTCTCAAAAAAAAAAACAAAAACAAACAAACAAAACCCACTGACCCAGAACCTACAATTAAGCTGTTTGGAGGAAGAGGGCGGAAATCTGTTAGTTAAGATTTAACCTGCATATGTTGCCTTCTTTACTAAAATCAGACTCATAAAGGAATGTATTCTGGCTTCAGCCTTGTTGGTACTGCTTTCCCTCTATTTGCTTCCCATGCTATTGCTTCATCCTTGTTTCTGCAGAACTAGGATTTTAGCTTAAAGTCACCTAAAAGCCTCCACAGGAAACTATGTTCCAAAGGGAAGACTCTATGGGAAGAACAATAGAGAAAGAAGTTACTTTTAAGTCTTTAGAAATGTTCACCCAACCCAGTCTTCTTTTTCTCTCAAAGGACAAGAACCCTCAACTAATAAAGCAAATGAACTTACAGGAAGGTAATATATGGAAATAAACATCTTATTGAATTTATCTGGCTCTAAATCTCTTTCATTAGGGAATTTATAGTATTTCATTGTCTCACAATCTCTCCATTTCTATCTACTTGATTAAACTATAGTACTATAGCAATGGAGGTGAAGGCCTAATTTAGAAGTATAGGAATTAGGCAAGGCGCGGTGGCTCATGCCCATAATCCCAGCACTTTGGGAGGCCAAGGCGGGTGGATCACTTGAGGCCAGGAGTTCGAGACCAGCCTGGCCAACATGGTGAAACCCCATCTCTACTAAAAATATAAAAATTAGCTGGGCATGGTGGCGAACACCTGTAGTCCCAGCTATGCGGGAGGCTGGCGCAGGAGAATCGCTTGAACCCAGGAGGCGGAGGTTGCAGTGAGCTGAGATCATATCACTGCACTCAGCCTCAGTGTATGCTGAGTGAGCAATGGAGGTGAAGGCCTAATTTAGAAGTATAGGAATTAGGCAAGGCGCGGTGGCTCATGCCCATAATCCCAGCACTTTGGGAGGCCAAGGCGGGTGGATCACTTGAGGCCAGGAGTTCGAGACCAGCCTGGCGGCAACAGAGCGAGACTCCGTCAAAAAAAAAAAAAAAAAAAAAGGAAAGGAATTATTCTCATGTATATAGTATTAGTAAACAACCTACAAAGCTTTTGAGCATCTTATAATTCACAGTGTACCACTGTTTCATATTTTCATGTTTCCGCAATTGAACTATAGAGTCTAGGGCTAGGTCTTAAGACTTTTCTCGTAACCTTCAGAGTGCCCAGCACTGGGATTGACACATAGCAGTTAGAAGGATCTTTTTTTTCCCCCATAAACCAGGCTCAAACTCTTCTATAACCCAAATCAACATATTCTGAGTGCCAATCTTGTGTAAGGCTCTCTATTATTTGTCATGCAGGATTCAGAGGAAAATGTGATCTACCACACTCAAGAGCAGGCCTCTTATCCTCTCCAGCTTAATGCATTTTACCAGTTAAGGACTACTCTGATGCTGAGATTGTACTTCTTTCCCTAAATCAAATGTCATGTGTTTAATTAAATGCTTTTAATTCTAGATATCAAATGATAACTTTCGTGAAGTAATTTAAACACACTTGAAACATCATATAAAATATTACTATGACTCAACTGTAAATGTGGCTCCCACCCCCATAACATCTATACAATATAACCAAAGAGCTAGATTCCAGGAGATTATCAAGAAACTTCTAAATTTTGAACCCATGCAGCAGAATTGTATTCCTTTACATTGTTGACTCGACTTATACATGTGCTGTGGAATAATTATCCTCAAATGCAATTTTCAGTACTGATTACATAGCTGCCTAAAAGAAAACTGTTAGCCCCTTCCATTTTATATCAAACCAATGTCTAAAGTGCTCTTGACCTCTTTAACCCCACATTTTCCCCACCCTCATCCCTCCTCAATCCCCAGAACCCACTCATCACATCCACTAGACCTGAAATTTGAGCTCAATCATAACTCTTTGTGTCTCTGCTCAAGCCCTTCTTCCTGCCTGGAATACCCTCTTTTCAGTCCCGGCTAATTACATCCACCACCCCATTCCAAGTAGCCGCTGGAAACTCACTTCCTTATGTTCTATGACTTCTTTCACAGTTTATACTTGTTTTGTTTTTTGGGGGGGGGTTGTTTTTTTGAGATGGAGTCTCGCTCTGCTGCCCAGGCTGGAGTGCAGTGGCGCGATCTCGGCTCATGACAACCTCCACCTCCTGGGTTCAAGCGATTCTCCCGCCTTAGCACCCTGAGTAGCTGGGACTACAGGCGCGCACCACCACGCCCGGCTAATTTTTTGTATTTTTGGTAGAGACGTGGTTTTACGGTGTTGGTCAGGCTGGTCTCGAACTCCTGACCTCGTGATCCGCCCACCAAACATTCTATGTGCCAGACACTTGTATGTAACCTTGCATAGTTCTTCTATTATGTCTCCCCAATTTTGAGTGTTTTCTCTGGTCTCCACTACCCAGCCCTTGGCCACAGCCTCACTAGGACCCTGGACAGCTTGAACACGGTCAGAAGGATCACCTAAGATTTTTGCTGGCACAGTATTTTCCATAAATTAATCTCCTGATTGAACCGTAGTCCTATAGTAGTTATCTTTGGATGTAAACCTAATACAGCTCGAGGAGGAAGTGGAGTGCTTGTGATCAGAGGGCTGGGCAAAAGCCCAGAGGGCGTCTCTGTAGCCCTGGGGGAGCTATCCCCAGGCAGGCTCTCTCAGGGCCCGGGAACAGGGCGGGACAAGTTCGACTGACCTGTGCGGTAAGGACGGGGCCAAGACCCGGAACCGAAAAGCAGGTCACGATAGCGCTGGAAGGCCTCGTCGAGGACTGAGCAGCCAGGCTGCGCGGCGGAGCTGACATCGTACTGGAATTGAAAGTTGTTCGGATAAAGGACGTAGCGCTGGTCGGAGGTTTGGATGTTCTGAGGCCAGGGCCAGAGGGCGGTCGCCCGTCCTGCGAACGCTGCCGCCAGCAGCAGCGAAAACCAAAGCCTGGAGCTTGCCATGGCCCGCCGGTCTCCCCTCTCGGAGAGGCCTGGCCACGTGAGACCCTGGTCAGGTGAGCGGCGCCCGCGTGACTATCGGCGAATCACGTGACCAGAGGCCGCTCTGCGCCTGCGACCCCGGGAGGACCCACTCCCTGCCCTTTCACTTCCGGCCTGGACGTGAGGCTCCTGCTGCATGCAGCGGGTAGTGCCAGGCGTCGGCAACTGCTCGGCTCCCCAGACGCCTGTCGGGCCCAGTAGAACCGTAAATAACCGGCCACCCCTGCGGCCGTGCGGTTTCTGATGGAACTAGACAGCTCACCCGACTCGAGAAGCACGGGGTGGGGAGGCGAGGACGCAGGGCGAGCTGGAAAAGAAAGTTTCCCAGATGGCTCCAGGGTGAATCTTGAATGTTGTGATGGAGCTCGCCAGGCCTACTGGGAGGTAAAGGACTTCCCAGGCTGAAGTAAGTTCAGCAGCAGAAAAACGGAGGATTAAAACCACAAGTCGTTGTGATGTGAAATTTCGTGGGGCAAGAAAGGGCCGGAAGTGGGTAGTCTGCACGGCTCTGCTAGAGAGGGGATCACAAGATCACAAAAATGTGATCTACTTATGACTGGAAAAAATGTGTACTCTCAGAGCCAGCTCGAGGCATTCCATTGCTTCCGATATGAGCTCTTCCCTTCAAGATTGACTATAAATCTTTTAGTTAGCAACTCACATCCCCTTTCCGCAGACAAAACACCACATACCCCGGTGTGTATTTACTGAAAGCAGTAAGATATTGCTGGGCCTTTGGGTGCAAGATGGAGAGTCCTCAGAGATAAGGACAGGGGCCTGGTCCTGCAGGGCCTTACATAGGAAGTCGAGGAATTTATTCTCTGAGCAATTGAAAATCATCCCGAAAGATCTGCATTTTAGAAATACCATGTTGAATAGTTGCATAAAAAACCAGTTAGGAGGCCCCTTTTTATTGGAGGTAGAGAATAAGGAGAGACTGAACTACAGAAGTAGGGAAGGAAAAGCGCTGTAGATCCAAGAAATAGTGGGTATCCAGAAGAGAGGCTTGAGAAGTGATCAAGGAGAATTCCACAGTTATCAGAGACCCTGTCTTCCTTGTTCACCACTATGTTACCAGAACATAATACAAATAATGCTATTGTTATTGGGTGGCATTATTTAGTTAGTAGGTACTTTTTAAAATTTTTAAATTTAATTTTAGTATTAAAATACATGTAAAGATCAGGAAAATGAACTTTTAAAATTAAGGGCTTTCACTGGGCATGATAACACATCCCTGTAGTTCCAGCTACTCCCAGCTATTCAGGAGGCTAAGGCGGGAGGATCACTTGAACCAAGGAGTTCAAGTTTAGCCTGGGCAATATAGTGAAACCCTTTCTCAAAAACAAAGGGCTACTGAAATTGAAATCATGATAATTTATATTCAGCTCATAGGTACCTAATTGCTAGTTATACATACATGGCTTTGATGGGAAATTAAACATTCTGACAATACAGAAATTCATCAAGCAATTTGTCTTTGATGGTTGATTATTCAAGAACAGAGCTTGTAGCAAAAAAAGCAGAAATTAGATCCCACAGTCATCAGGTTCAGATTCTAAGGCATGCATTCTTACACTAATTTCTTCTTTGCTCAAATCTTAATTTTCATCAGCATTAGTAAGTGTCTGGGTACTCTGCCAGTCAGGAGAGATGTTACCAAAGGTACAAAGGAAAAGGATTTGAAAAGTATTGTCAGAAGAGCCAAGTTCATAATCAGACCCACAGGATCAATAATTTGGGGGAGTGTTTAGAGCAGTTTCGAGGATGACAGCAGTAGATCGAAGTAGAATTTCAGGACTGAGCATATGCCAAGGCACCCTTTTATGTGATATTCAACCTGTACCAGAAGAGAAGAGTCATTTAAAAGAGTTACGCAAGATGAAAGAGCTAGATCCAAATAAAGACATTATAAAAATTACTAATGGGGCCGAGCATGGTGGATTACAGGGATTCAGTTATTTAATTATTACTGAAAGAGCTCTTTTAGACTTAACCAAATTTTTAAATCAAATATTCTTATGCATACATAAAAGTAAGTTACACAAGATAAATTTGTTGATCTTCCAAAATATCCCCCCTTACTATACACTAGAGTGGGGTTTTGGCATAATGGCAGACAAATAGATGGAATGGAATAGAGGGTTCAGGAAAAGAGCCATTTGATTATTACTCGATCTCAACAAAGACACCAATTTAATTTAGTGGGGAAAGCAAGTTATTTTCAATAAAAGATGATAAAATAGATACCCCTATGTGGGGAAAATGAACTATGATCCCCTACCTCACAGCATACACAAACTTAATTAAAAATGGATCACAGGCTGGGGATGGTGGCTCACACCTGCAATTCCAGCACTGTGGGAGGCCAAGATGGGAGGATCACTTGAGCCCAGGAGTTCAAGACCAGCATGGATAATACAAAGAAACCTCACTTCTCTCTCTTTTTTTTTGAGATGGGGGTGGTTAATGGGTACAAAAAAAGTAGACTGAATAAGACGTACTATTCGAGAGCACAACAGGATGACTATAGTCAATAATAGTTGTATATTTTAAAAGAACTTAAAAGAGTGTAACTGGATTGCTTACAACTCAAAGGATAAACGATTGAGAGTATGGATAACCCCATTCTCCAAGATGTGCTTATTTCACATTGGACGCCTATATCAAAACATCTCATGTACCCCATAAATATATGCACCTACTATGTACCACAGAAACTTAAAATTAAAATTAGACTGGGCATGGTAGCTCATGCCTATAATCCCAGCACTTTGGGAGGCTGAGGCGGGTGAATTGCTTGAGGTCAGAAGTTTGAGACCAGCCTGGCCAACACGGTCAAACTCCATCTCTACTAAAAATATAAAAATTAGCGTGGTGGCAGGCACCTGTAATCCCAGCTACTTGGGAGGCTGAGGCAGGAGGGTCACTTGAACCCGGGAGGTGGAGGTTGCAGTGAGCCAAGATCACGCTACTGCACTCCAGCCTGGGTGGAGGTTCTATCTCAAAAAAAAATTAAATTTAAATTTAAAAAATGAATAAACAGTTTTTAACAATATGAACTATTTAAATTAGTATATATACAACATTGCCATCAATTTTGACAGTAAATGAATATCGAAAATAACATAATAAAGTATATAATATTTGATTGTTTATTTTTTCTTTATTAAAGGCAGCTTGTTAAATGAATAAAAACATGATTTAATTTTCATATCTGTATCTTCTAATAAAATTAATTTACATATCAGAAAAATAATTCACTGTCAGACAATGTGCCCAGGTTTTTGGCTTATAAATTAGGGGATCAGAAAGCAGGAAATAAATAATTTGCCTCAGTAAGTCTTTTACAATGGAGGTAAACTTTGAATTGACTCCCAAAGCATGAGTTAGCCAGGCAGGGAAAGGGGGAGCATAGGCAAAGCACAGAGGTATGAAAGAGGATGACATATTGAACAAAGGGTTTATGGGGCTAGCGAAATAAAATGTGCCACGATTACCTCACTTCCTGGTCCTCTACCATACTCTCTTCTTTCTGCAATGCCTTTCCCACTTCCCAATCCCTCTGCCTACTTCAAGGTCTAAACTTATATTTTACCATCCTGGAAATCTCTGACTTCTCAAATCTGGGTAAGATCCCCCTCCGTGATCCCATAACTCTCTGAGTTAATCTCATGTATCTCAAAGTACAGTTGACCCTTGAACAACATGGGTTTGAACTGCCCTGGTCCATCTATACACAGATACTATGTAGCCAAAGACAGATGGAAAACACAGTGTTCTTGGGATGCAAACCCCATGGGTGTGGAGGACCATCTGCAGGACTTGAGTATGTGCAGAGTATATGCGGATTTTGGTATTCTTGGAAGGTTGGGGGCATGGGGGAGGCGGGTCCTGGAACCAATCCCTTGAGTATATTGGGGTATGGCTCTATTGTTATTGTTTGTCCATTTGTCTGTCTGTTCCACTACAGTAAAAGCTCCTGCAATCTCAAACTCCTGGACTCAAGGGTCCTCCCATATCAGCCTCCCAAGTAGGTGGGACTACAGGCACATGCTACCATGCCAAGCTAATTTTTAAAGTTTTTGTAGAGATGGGTCTCCCTATGTTGCCCAGGCTGGTCTCAACTCCTGGGCTCAAGCGATCCTCCTGCCTCAGGCTTCCAAAGTGCTGCGATTATAGGGGTGCCACTGGCCCAGCCATCCTGACACTTTTTAAACCCATTCCATTTCACATGCCTCTGCCTCTGTTTTACCCTGTTGCCTCCAAGCTCTTCCCGTCCTATCTCTAAATTTACAAAACTCGATGCAATTTATCAGTACTGAACATATACAATTTTATGTAGGGTTTCTAAAAATGTGTCCAGGGCCCAGTGTGGTGGCTTATGCCTGTAATCCCAGCACTTTGGGAGGCCGAGGCAGGGGGATTACTTGAGCCCAGGAGTTCGAGACCAACCTGGGCAACACAGGAAGACCCCATCTCTACCTCTACCCAAAAGAAAATGTTGTGTCCAGTTTCTTTTTTAGCCCAATCCCCTCCTGTCTTCTAGTCTTATAATTATCCCAGTTATTCAGGTTTACTCACTAAGTCTTAGCTGACTTTCCTAAAACTAGACATACACCCCTTGCAATAACTGACTTTGTCCTATATCCATCCAATCCGAGGCTATAAATAGACATTTCTTTTCTTTTCTTGTTTGTAGAGACTTGCTGTACTTTTTAAAGATCTTGCTATATTGCCCAGACTGGTCTTGAACTCCTAGCCTCAAGCAATCCTCCCTCTTGGCCTCCCAAAGTGCTGGGATGACAGTTGTGAGCCACCACACCCAGCCAGACTTTCATTTATGGCCTGAATTTTTTACAAAGGTTTTTTGTGTGTGTCATAAAACTAGAAAAACTAGAGCCCCAGGGGAACTTTTGACGGATCTGAGCTAAAGGAGTGACAGTGGAAAGGAAGCTGTGGGACAAATGCAATAATATTTCAGACACGGAATAATGGAACTCAGCAGCTAACTGGGTGCTGTGGGAATGCGGACAAAGGAAAGGGGAGAGGAAAAGATGTGAGGGTGTACCAGCTTGGAAAGGAAAAGAGCGTGACTTTAGTTATTCATTTAACGAGTATTTCTTTTTTCTTTCCTTTCTTTCTTTCTTTTTTTTTTTTTGAGACAGGATCTTTGTTGCCCTGACTGGAGTGTGCAGTGGCACCATCACAGCTCACTACATTTCCCCAGGGAATGATGATACTCTGGCTCAGTACAAATGGAAGAGCAGATATTGGGAAAAGAGGATGAGCTCCGCGACATGCTGTTTTGAGGGATTTTTTTTTTTTTTTTTGGAGATGGAGTCTTGCTCTGTCGCCCAAGCTGGAGTGCAGTGATACAACCTTGGCTCACTGCAACCTCCACCTCTCAGGTTCAAGCGATTCTCCTGTCTCAGCCTCCCAAGTAGCGGGGATTACAGGTGCATGCCACCACGCCTGGCTAATTTTTGTATTTTTAGTAGAGGTGGGGTTTCACCACATTGGCCGAGCTGGTCTCGAACTCCTGATCTCAGGTGATCCACCTGCCTTGGCCTCCCAAGGTGCTGGGCTTGCAGGCGTGAGCCACTGCCCCCAACCTGTTTTGAGGGATTTTAACAGACAATTAGGTTGTCCAGCAGAGCTGAGACTGGTGGCTCACCAGAGAGCTTTAAGAGTCATCTGCCCAGAGATAACAATTGAAATCATGAAAATGCATGATACAGTCAAGGGAAAACGGGAAAAGGGAAAGATAGCTAAAAATTAGACGTAAAGACGAGAGAGGTTTGTCTCGTCTTTACTTGTGGAACCCAGACTATGGAATTACAATGGAGGGATTAACTCTGAGTGGGAGAATCAGAACAATCTTGATTTGCTAGTGGCTAGTAGAGTAGACTCAGATCAGAGGTGATGTTGATGAGGGGAAAGGCAAGAAAGGACCTTTTCAAGGTCTCCTCAATTCAGCCTCTACATCAGGGGTCCCTAGTCCCCAGGCCAGAGACTAGTACTGGTCTGTGGTCTGTTAGGAACTGAGCCTCACAGCAGGAGGTGATCAGAGGACCAGCGGGCATTACTGCTTGAGCTCCACCTCCTGTCAGATCAGAAGCAGCA